CAGAGCTTCAATTGGCACAAAATAAATTGCGTTGTGTAGCTGTGACCCAAACCAATCATACAAGCCTTTCGACGGTCAAATCCGATAACTGGTTGCGGAGATTTGCTCAAAAGGGGGCACAGCAGTATGATACTGCATCTACCACAAAAAAATCCTACTGTAACTTCGCGCAGAGAGCTCCGATCGACACCAAAAGCTTAAGTGATGGCTGTGAATCGTGGAAACACAACGCGAGTTACATAGCTGGTGTCGATGAGAACCCTCTGCGAGGAGGCACGGTCGTCTTGTTGATGGCAGATACAGTATATCATACCGCTGAGCCCCCTTTTGGGCATATCTCCGCAACCACTTACCGGATTTGAAAGGGTTGCGCTGGAAAGAAGGGACTGTACGACATTTCCCCGAACCCTGAAGCGAGCTGGTAACTTGTGCAGCACTTCATAATAGGGTTGCGGTGGAGGACAAGAACTGTTCGACAGAAGAAAGGAGCAGTCCGGCGTCATAGGAATTTCCCCGAACCCTGAAGGCAAGCTGGTTACTACGTGGACAGCACTTCGACAAATAGGGTGTTGCTAGAAAATAACGAGAGAGCTGTTCGAAAAGATTTTTCCCCGAACCCTGAAGGACTGGTAACTTGGACAGCACTTCGACAAATAGGGTGTCGCTGGAATACGAACCGAGCTCGAACGACAACAAGTACGCCACTCTGAGTACCGGAGGTCGCGCGGAAACAAGAGTTGAGCCAGGTTTGGCCACCTGCATCAGCAACTCAAGTCGACATTACAACGAAGTGTACGGTTCTGGAAAAGGAAACCCCAACATTTGAGCAAGGAGCCTCAAATTTCAACACGTAAGTTTTGACGGAGGAAATGTTCAAGGGAATTGGACAAGTAGACACTACTGGAAGGAGAGCCTTGGAATCAGCACCAGGCACCAGTACCAACAAGGATCGACCATGGCCCAAGACAGCAAACACTTCCAACTGCTGAAGAGCCTGCATAAGTACAGCTGCAAGGATACGGAGTATCCAGAGTGGAAATACACGACAAGGAGGACTCTGGCCTCGTATCGACCAAACATCAACAAACTACTAGGGGAGAAATGGCGTCCTACTCCTATCTATGAACTACACGACGAGGATGATGACGGTGATCAACGTGATGGAGATCAAGATGGTGGAGACCAAGAACATGAAGACGACGAAGGCAGTGGAGACCGTGATGACCAAGACGCTGCATACCAAGAAGCTCTACAGCAGCTGCGTTCAGCGGAGTCAGCATCTGTGGAAGCTCGAGAACAGGCGGCACTCGCCCGCAAAGTGCTTCCTGATGCTGACGAAGAACACAAGACCATAACACGAGCGATGAAAGACGCATCGGATACTGCTGAACGACTCCCTGTTCAAGCTGAGATCATTGTTCGTCTCTACAGGGAGCAACGACCACGGAAGCGTTCTTCGCAAGGCCAACAGGAATCACGAACGAGACCAACAGCTCTGTTCGTGGGTCTGCAAACATTGCTGTTGGATACATGTGCTGGATGATTTTGTGTCACGCAGACTGGTAAGATAACCGTTTGATAGGGGGCACCGCGATGATTCACGGGGCCCCTCCTTGCTGTGGGAGCCGCTCTTTGAGCACTCCCTCTTTCGTCCGTGTGAAGGATGGTCGTCTACCTCCCGTGAAGTTAATACATCACCAAAACAGTCTCACCCGATAAATAAGTGGCGGTCTAGGCCGANTTGGTAGGGGGCACCGCGATAATTCACGGGGCCCCTCCTTGCTGTGGGAGTCGCTCTTTCAGCATTCCCTCTTTCGTCCGGGTGAGGGACGGACGTCTACCTCTCGTGAAGTTAATACATCACCAAAACAGTCTCACCCGATAAATAAGTGGCGGTCTAGGCCGAAAACACTCTAGAGTTTTTTGCCCCTCGAGGGAAGCCACATTGGGATGAGCTCTGCTGGAGACGAAGAGCGCGCTGCTGCGAGCCGAGAACAGATCCGCCGGCCGGTGCAGGAGGGCAGCGATGCGGAGCTTGCAAGTTTGCAACTGCAGGTCTCACGATTGGCGGCCCTGGTGGAGGAGTCGAAAAAGGAGAAGCCCTGGTGGAGGAGTCGATAAAGGAGGAGCCTGGCAGCGTCGTGGCGGATGCAGCCACTAGTGGCGGCTGGGTTGCCGCCACCGAAGGCCAACAAGAGCCCCTGCAGCCGCACGGTGGAGGCGGGGGATTTCTCCAGCAGCAAGCGAGAGATGGTGGGCAAGGACCACGTCAGCTGCTGGAAGGCGGCCGGCAGATCGGGAGCGAATCCTGCGAGACCAGCCGGAGTGGGCCCGGGCATAGGACCGGACTACGGGGAAGCGAGGGGGTTAAACCACCCAGGTGAGATACCCGTGATTCGAGGAAAGGGAGAATTCCTCAACGGCAACAGCAGTAGCCACATGAAGAGAGTAATAGTCAATGCCCCGCGTCTCGAAGGGGAGAGTCGCGGCCATGGGTATGACTCGTGGAGAAAGTCGCTTATCCAAGCGGCCAAGACTGTAGGACTGGACGGCCAATTGATCGACAACAATGTGAGACATGCACTTGTCGGACCCAAACGTGCCAAGCTCGGAACTGTACGACCTCCAATACACCAGCGACGAGGTCCAGAGGGGCCTTCAAACGTTCCATTTTGTGACCACTGCCATCGTCAGAGAAGCCGACAAGGCGATCGTGAACAAATGCGAGACCGCAAAAGAGATCCTCGCGGAACCCGACAAAATCTACGATCCGGAATCGCAGGGCTCGAAACAAGCCCTCATGAAGAAAATCTTCAACATCACGATCCCCACACACCGCAGCAGAAACCCCATCGAGCACCTATACTTGCTCGAGCTGCTGTACTCACGCCTGCCCGAGAAAGGGCTCAATGCTGAACAACCCTTCGTTCTCGCCCACTTCGTTGGTTCCCTCCCACCCGAGTACCAACAAGTGAAGTTCCTGTCGGAGACAGCAACGGCGCTGGATAGGGCCGAGATTGTCAGAATCGTGAGCACCGTGCACGCGAGCCTCCCGGAGGGGAGGAAGGCCTCGAAGGGCCAGCGCACGGCGGAGCACGCTCTCCTCGCGAGCGACGATAGGTGGGGGAGGGGCGCCGGGCCGCGGCAACGGCGGCGGCGGAGGCGGCGGCAACCAGAAGGGGAGCGGGGGTAGCGCGAAGGCTGGTGGCGGCGGCGGAGGCGGCGACGACGATGCGGTTAGCATGCGCGGTCGCTGTTTCCGGTGCGGCAAGAAGGGCCACCAGGTGGCCGACTGCACCGAGAGCAAGCCCGTGCGACGTGAGACATGCAATGGCTACGGGCACGACAAGAGCAAGTGCCCGACCGAGGGGGTGATGCTCGTGGTGCTCGTGCCGGCGGGGGGGGCGTCTGCGAACGCCACAGCACTGGACGTGGCAGAAGAGGCGCTGGTGGTCGGTGGCATCTCAGGCGAGTGTTACAAAGTCGTTGGTCGAGGGGGTGTAGAGCAGGCTAGGCGGGGTAAGTTTGTTGCCGATACTGGCGATACCACCCACATGTTTGCGAACTCAGATGGGTTCGTTCGCTACGAAGAGTGCGATCGACGTGTGCGCGTCGCCGCCGGAGAAACCTTTTTCCCCATCGTGGGGTACGGCGACGTGACGGTAACCCTTAGCTC